TCTTTGTTTCTCTTAGTATAACTTCCCAGTTCTCCTTTCACTCTTACTATTGATTGACTTATTCTGTCATTTCCCCCTCATAGCTCCTACTTAATCCCACCAAACCTCAAATTTGCACAATGCACCCAGCTCCACCTCTTGACCTGCATGCAGCATCAGCTGTGATTGCTGACAGCTTCTTTCTTTTCTTTCTTTCTTTCTTTTTTTTTTTTAAACACTCGTTTCAAATTGTTGAGAAAGGAATTTGACTGGCATAGTATGCACACCCAGGACTTGGTGTCCATTATCTGTGCATTCAATCAGTGCTGATCAGAGAAGAGCAATAAGTATTAGATATGGAAAATGACAACCCCCAAAAGTAGTGAGACCTGGAGAAAGAGGAGTGAGAAGGAAAGCCACACATTGACAGCATTGATCCTTTCCCAATACAGTCTTTCCCAGTGATAAACAAACCCTAAGGAAGAGGTGTCCATCAAACCTAGAAAAGCAGTCTCTGGGAAGAGGCCAAAGCATTGATCCTTCTGTAAACAAATCCTTTCCAGATACCAACCACTGACCCCAGACTCTCCATCAGGTTCAGTACAATAAATTCTAGAAACTGACCACTGACCTTAGACTCCATCCCATTTCACCCCATAAAACAGACCCTAAATTGCTAAGCACTAAAACTAACTCCTTCACTGATTGACAGAATAAACTCCAAATTCCTAGGTTTCCAAAGAAAACTGATATGCTCACTAGACCACCTCTCAGAATAACCTATATAAGCCCAGGCTCTTTCTTTGTTTAGGGGCTCATTTTCCACTAGGAAAGTGGGTCCCACCATGGCATCATTTCATCCCTGCATCCCCTGCTCCTGTGTGAAACTTTGTTCCTGAATAAAGTGATGAGCTGATTTGTGAAGTTTGCATTCATCCCAGTCTTTTTGTGCTAACAGCGTCAGTATGTAGGTATTTGCTGCCTAGAAAAAGAAACATCGTTTGCCACTTCTGAAGGACTGTGGGTAGGACACTTGTCTCAGGAGGGGGTCAACGGTGAGGCCAGCTTTCTGTGGCTTGGTCCATTTTATGCATTTCCTTAATGAAGGTCAACTCTTCTCTGCATGGAGGTGGTTCAGGAAGGGCCAAGAAACATACTTGTGCTTTATTGCTGTGTGGGTTCTTCATACTTAGAGGTCAGCTTAATAGAACTAGTTTACAGGGTCAGGTACAATAATGAAACTGTTTAAACCAAAGCACCATAGATTGGCTTTATATTTTTGAGATATCTTAATTTAGTTTAATTCAGTACCAAAAAAAAAAAAAGTTCTAAAAAACCTAATCTATCCAAAATATCAACACATGGATAGACACAGGAGATGGGATTGGGGTTTGTTTTGGCAAAGGGAGCTCACCTCTGCCATCCACAGTCACTTTTAACCTCCAGGAAATGCCACTCTCTCATTCAGAGTGAGAATGAGACCTCAGAGTGTGTGAAAACAGGGAGGCCATCTTCTTGAAGGGAGTGGATGTGCTCATGTGCGACTTCCTGTGGGCTCTGAACAGGAAATGGAGGGATGTTTGAGAAAGCAGACAAATGAGAGAACAAGATCCAGCCCCTACCCCTAGGTTTCATCTCCATTTTTCTTTCTGTACCATTTGTTCAGGAGGGAAAAGAGGGGCACATTTTTTCTCAATGTTCCCCACACACAGACTTTTAATGAGCACTATTTTCTGTTCTTATTCGCTGATCAATAAACTCAAGGGTAGGTCTTGTCTGTTCCCAGAGATAAAGAACTGCATGCATAACTGGTCTCTATCCACCCGAACAAGCACCGGTTTCTCTTTGTTTTTCACAGTGTTTCTGAGAGATAAGAGGAAACCACCCAGACATGATGCATGACCAGAGGAGGTTTTGAAATAATATTTTATAAACTCACTCCCCATTCTGAGCTGTGCTTCAGGGATGGAGAGAATTGGGGGAGGGCACCACATAATAACAAGTTGATTTTTTTTTCTGGATTAAACATAAGCAGGCAAACACACAAACATGGAAAACATATGAATAAATGTTCAACTGAGGAAAGAACAAGCCAATTTTCAGTTATAGGCATGAAAGTCAAATAGAATTTTAGTAATGCAAATGAGTACATCCCGAAAATTCAGTGACTGTTTCCTACTACAAACACTGCCTCTGTCATATGGATTCAAAATCAATATCAGCCAGGCAGGACCTGCATACAGTGGAAGAGGAAGCTATCTGCCCAAAAAAATATGGGATGAAGCCAGGATAGAATCCTATTAAGTGAATGTCCTTCAAGGCTCTGGCAGGTTTCTACGAGGTTATACAAGATGGAAGGGTTGATTTGAAATTAATGATGCAAGATTTTAAGTAGGGTAAGACTAAATGTAAGATGAGATGGTGCTGATGAAAGCACAGTGAATAAGTGTTTTCAATAGCAAATGAAAATTTGTTAGGAATTTAAATGAGCAAAGGTAGGAAATCGTTTGGGAGAAATTTGCTATTGGGCTAAGGAAAGACTTGGGATTGATTCGACTTGACAGTGAGGATATATAGGAAGCTAGGATCTTCAAGAATGGTAAGCAAAAGAAGAAAAAAACAATGTTAGCAAGCGGGATGTGAAGGTGCATGCATCTAATCCCAGTGACTAGGGAGGCTGAGGTGAAGGATCACAAGTTTGAGGCCAGACTCAGCAACTTAGTGAGGCCCTGTCTCAAAGTAAAAATCTTTTTAAAAGGCTGGGGATGTGGCTCACTGAATTCAATCCCTGGTACCAAAAAAAATAATAAGAAGAAGAATGGTAGGTGGAAAACCATGAGACACTTGTTTCTGAGCAGACAAAAACTGAGGAGAAAAATAAAATGCTGGTTGAAGTTGAGCAATATTTCATTGTCCAGGTTAAATACCATACATTACTGTTTCTTTCCATCTCTAGGTTTATGAACTTTAATTCCTCTGTTTTAGAAGTTTATCTATATTTCATCTCCCTCAGTTCCGTATGTGTGTGTGTGTGTGTGTGTGTGTGTGTGTGTGT